TGCGAATCTCCCGTTCCACCACATCCCAAAGATGCTCTATTGGATTGAGATCTGGTGACTGTGGAGGCCATTTGAGTACAGTGAACTCATTGTCATGTTCAAGAAACCAGTCTGAGATGATTCCAGCTTTAAGACATGGCGCATTATCCTGCTGAAAGTAGCCATCAGAAGTTGGGTACATTGTGGTCATAAAGGGATGGACATGGTCAGCAACAATACTCAGGTAGGCTGTGGCGTTGCAACGATGCTCAATTGGTACCAAGGGGCCCAAAGAGTGCCAAGAAAATATTCCCCACACCATGACACCACCACCACCAGCCTGAACCGTTGATACAAGGCAGGATGGATCCATGCTTTCATGCTGTAGACGCCAAATTCTGACCCTACCATCCGAATGTCGCAGCAGAAATCGAGACTCATCAGACCAGGCAACGTTTTTCCAATCTTCTATTGTCCAATTTCCATGAGCTTGTGCAAATTGTAGACTCAGTTTCCTGTTCTTAGCTGAAAGGAGTGGCACCCGGTGTGGTCTTCTGCTGCTGTAGCCCATCTGCCTCAAAGTTCCACGTACTGTGCGTTCAGAGATGCTCTTCTGCCCACCTTGGTTGTAACGGGTGGTTATTTGAGTCACTGTTGCCCTTCTATCAGCTCCGACCCGTCTGGCCATTCTCCTCTGACCTCTGGCATCAACAAGGCATTTCCGCCCACAGAACTGCCGCTCACTGGATGTTTTTTCTTTTTCGGACCATTCTCTGTAAACCCTAGAGATGGTTGTGCGTGTATCATGCTGTATCATGAGCAATATTGGTTCGTTGTATTTATGTGGTAACATTTTCCCACAATTCTTACTTAACAGCTCATGGGTTTGCACTTAAGGCTCTGTATACCTGCCAGTTGCCTAGTTTAACTACTATTTCATCAGCCAATGTTGTGCCACCTAATTAAAATTAAAACAAACTCGCTCACGTTCATAGCTCACTTTTTCACAAGTTCACAAACCTATAAATGTTATGTAATGAAACTAGCTCAAGTTCATTAGGTAAATTAAAGCTACAGTGTGTAATAATTACAGGGATATACAGTCAGAAATGTAATATATTATACATAACTATGTTATTTATCATCATCTACGAGCTCAGCCTCTTAACCTTAATATTTGCGTTGCCTTAGAATTCGTTATTTATAATTACATAGGAGCGGGTCTCGCAGCCATGGAGGCAGACATCTTTGCGCTACGGCAGCTCAGGTCCAGTCAGAATTCTGACTTTATTTCAGAATTCTGACTGAATTCTGACAATAAAAAAAGTCAGAATTCTGAGAAAAAAGTCAGAATTCTGACTTTTTCCCCATACTATACTGAAATAAAATAAAAAAAAATCAGTTAACTTTTTTTTTTTTTTCATTGGGTCTAATCATCTTCCGTAGTTTTCTACTCATTTCAACAGCAAAAAGGTATCTGCAAAATTCAACAACAGCAAAAGCTCTCTGAACCAGTTTAATCAGCCATTCAGCATCATAGCCATCTCTGAAACAGGAATCCCTCATGAGAAGGAGGCTGTTCAATTAAATCATTAGAGAGGGGAAAACTGGGGCAGCAGTAGCTATGTATGTTGACAAAAACTTAAAATATAAAATAGTAGAAAACCATGACGAGATGTGATGACCAGAGTGATTAAAAATGCATTTGAGCCTTTATTAGTTATATATTTATGGAAAAGTCGAAAAATTTGATTGTTAGTGGTATATATAGAGCTCATTCCAATATAGTTCCAATATGGACATATTTAAAGAATGGTTTGAGCAAACATACACAGTAATATCTCAGAAAGTCTTCTTCATCTGTGGGTCTTTAATTCACATCTACTTACTTAATCATAAACCTACTTAAGAGTTCAATAATATCATGTACAGTTTGAGCCTTTCCCCCCAAATCACTAGTATGATCACAAATAACCATGCCAAATTAATAGATAATATACACTCACCGGCCACTTTATTAGGTACCCCATGCTAGTAACGGGTTGGACCCCCTTTTGCCTTCAGAACTGCCTCAATTCTTGGTGGCATAGATTCAACAAGGTGCTGGAAGCATTCCTCAGGGAGTTTGGTCCATATTGACATGATGGCGTCACACAGTTGCCGCAGATTTGTCGGCTGCACATCCATGATGCGAATCTCCCGTTCCACCACATCCCAAAGATGCTCTATTGGATTGAGATCTGGTGACTGTGGAGGCCATTTGAGTACAGTGAACTCATTGTCATGTTCAAGAAACCAGTCTGAGATGATTCCAGCTTTATGACATGGCGCATTATCCTGCTGAAAGTAGCCATCAGAAGTTGGGTACATTGTGGTCATAAAGGGATGGACATGGTCAGCAACAATACTCAGGTAGGCTGTGGCGTTGCAACGATGCTCAATTGGTACCAAGGGGCCCAAAGAGTGCCAAGAAAATATTCCCCACACCATGACACCACCACCGCCAGCCTGAACCGTTGATACAAGGCAGGATGGATCCATGCTTTCATGTTGTAGACGCCAAATTCTGACCCTACCATCCGAATGTCGCAGCAGAAATCGAGACTCATCAGACCAGGCAACGTTTTTCCAATCTTCTATTGTCCAATTTCCATGAGCTTGTGCAAATTGTAGCCTCAGTTTCCTGTTCTTAGCTGAAAGGAGTGGCACCCGGTGTGGTCTTCTGCTGCTGTAGCCCATCTGCCTCAAAGTTCCACGTACTGTGCGTTCAGAGATGCTCTTCTGCCCACCTTGGTTGTAACGGGTGGTTATTTGAGTCACTGTTGCCCTTCTATCAGCTCCAACCAGTCTGGCCATTCTCCTCTGACCTCTGGCATCAACAAGGCATTTCCGCCCACAGAACTGCCGCTCACTGGATGTTTTTTCTTTTTCGGACCATTCTCTGTAAACCCTAGAGATGGTTGTGCGTGAAAATCCCAGTAGATCAGCAGTTTCTGAAATACTCAGACCAGCCCTTCTGGCACCAACAATCATGCCACGTTCAAAGTCACTCAAATCACCTTTCTTCCCCATACTGATGCTCGCTTTGAACTGCAGGAGATTGTCTTGACCATGTCTACATGCCTAAATGCACTGAGTTGCCGCCATGTGATTGGCTGCTTAGAAATTAAGTGTTAATGAGCAGTTGGACAGGTGTACCTAATAAAGTGGCCGGTGAGTGTATATATATATATATATATATATATATATATATATATATATATATATATATATATATATATATATATATATATATATATATATATATATATATATATATATATATATATATAGGCATCCACATCAATCTAGTGACCCAGGCTAAGTTAGCAGCAGAGTTATTAATTATCAATCAAATAACTATTTATCTCTGTTTATTCATACTGTTGTCAAAACAGGGTGGATCTGGCCTGAGTGATAAACCGTCCGCTATATGGATCACAAGACCACTACAAGTTAAACAATGACGTCTTTATTCCAATAATTCAGGATTACAGAAATCTAACATCTTTGTAAAACTACATGCTATTAGAAAATAAACATGAGGTAGATTAAATGACTAGTTTAAAAGAAAACAAAAAGAATAAAACCAACAAGCTTATTTAGGCGTATCATAGAGAACCATGTTGCCCACAGACACCATGATGGATTTATTCTGTTAATCGATTTGCACTATTGGTTAAGTTAAGGCTACCTCTATCTGTGTAAACTTAAATTTTATTTCACAAAGAGGGATTGTTCATAAAGTGAAGAACATTGTGGAAAACAGTGAGCACCCTCTTCATCAGACTGTTGAACAACAACAGAGTTTCTTCAGTCAGAGGCTTCCCCAGATCCGGTGCAAGACAGACTTCTGCAGAAGATCCTTCCTGCCTACAGCGTCAACAACACCTGGTTAAAAAACTACTAATTAATTATTTAGTTTCCCTGTTGGATTAATTAAATTTTTGGGGAGTAATAAAGTATTTTTGAATTGAATTGAGTTTGTGTTTTTCAATTCAATTAAAAAAAGATACTTTATTAATCCCAAATCATATTTTAACCCACAATGAAAGGTCAATACTGAATAGAGAGGACATTTTCTGGTCCTCGCTTTTTTGCATATTGTTTTTGGGTTAGCAGTTTATGGTTAGCGTCAGGGTCAGACCATAGAAATGAATGGAAGTCAATGCAAAGTGTCTTTGTAGATAGAAATACAAGGACTTCTGCGTGTCTGTGTTGAGTCAGGAGTCACACCCTGTACTGAGTCTTACTCAGCGTGTCTGTAAAAGGTAAAACAGAAAAACGGTGTGCGTGCTGAACATACCCTCAGGCCACAGTCTTTCTACCCTGAGTGATGATCAGTGGAGTTAATAAACCAGCTGACAGGCTGAGGAAACATTGCTTGCAGCATGAGTAATATGTTTCTGTGCAATGCTGCCTCTTTTACACTAAGCTTTGCCGTGATGGAATAAAACACACCAAATTTTGTAATGTTGCAATATTGTAATATAAGGGCAGCAAATTAAAAAGAGGCTTTGCCAAAAAACTAAATCAAAATGGTGTTTGTTTAAAATTTACCATGAGATCTGTCAACGTGAGGCTTGCTTTCAGGAACAGTGTGAAGTTGGAAACAATAAAACTATAAAAGTATATTTCCTTCGCATTGAGTGTTTGATAACAGATATCCAGCCAACTGACTTATGTCAAATATACTTGGTGTCTGGTATTCCTCTGAAGTGTTTGAGTTATCAACATGAAGGATGAGGAAAAGTCCGAATATAAAAATAAAATTAGTAAAAATTTGTACTTTAAAGCCAACAAAGACAGGAATCTGAGGGGAAAGTTACATTCCTGCAGGTATTTTGGGCGAGGTCCTTTTGCTCTGTGATGTGTGATGCTCAGTTCAGACATGTTTTCGTTCCTTGCGTCTTTGTGGGTTTTTTTTTTTTTTTTTTTTTTTACTCCGTGTGTCTGTGTTGATTCATGACTGCAGGGAACGGTTGTCAAGGGTGGGACTCTGACACACTGTGTCTCACCCTGCCCAGGTGAGCCAGCGTATAAAACAGTCAGAAAGCAGCGCATTGTTCAACACGGGCAGAAACTAACCCTACAGGGATCGAGTTTCCAGGTGAGCTCCACATCTACCAAATACATCAAAACTTCCTTTACTTGCTTTTTTCATGATTCTCTATTATCTGTTCCAGATTTCCATGCAGCAGGAATCCAGTATGATAATCCTCGTACTTCTAGCTGGTAAGATTTCTCTTTAGCTGGTTGGTTGTTTTTTTGTTGTTGAGATGACTTACAAATTCTAATATAACCTGTTAGTTAGACAGCAAGTTATTTAATCAAACCATCTTCAGTTGCACATGAAAATGTGAAATCTCATCACAGATAAGACGTTTGAACCAGAAAATGATCACATTGATAACAGTAATTAGGACAACTGTTTAGACGATTTGTGTCTCCTGCGCTAGAAACCAGAAGCTAATCCCAGAGGTTTGCTCTGATCAAGTGTAATAAATACATTGGGCTATGGAAACCAGTAATTATCAGTTCAAAGATGAGGAGATGTTTGGCTGCAGACTGGCTCATCTGTTGGTGAAGTGGGGCAGGCAGAGACCTGTGAGCACCTGGGAAGATTCACATTGAGTAAAACCTCCTATTATAAGTGAATGGGCGAGGTGGGGGCACTGTGGGGCCCTGCATTGGTCTGTGTCTGTGGCTGGTCTGTGGTCCTGCATCGATGCTAAATGTGGGCTCCTGGCTGGTGGACCCCAATGAGGTTCCACTGTTTTTTTGCTTTACCCCCATACTTTGCTCTTACTCTAATATCTTGCCTTCCTACAGTATTTTAATGCTGACACTGCAGCTCTTAGATCCTTTTGTATGGTCCCTCCCATTACCTTTAAAATTTGTCCTGTCTCTGACCTAAGTGTGAACTGTTTACCCACAGCTCAGCAGAGATGGATATTATGCTTTAAGTGCACAGCAGATGCCAGTTATTACATCAGCAGATGCTGATGTGCGAAAGACTTGAATAAAACGAGAGGGAAACTCTTAATGTGGCTTTTTAGGCAGCTCTGACTGCAGTTTCAGCACAAGAAACTGTCTGGATATGGAGACACAGCGATGGTGAAGCTAAGAGGTTCAATATCTTCTAATTTTAAAGTTTGTTGTGACAAATAGCAAAGATGCACGTGCATTGTGTGGTTACCTGCAGTTAGGTGACGAGGAGCGTAAAGAAGTGATCATCTGTCCGAACGGTCCTTTAACCGAGTTTACTGTAAAGTCCACTATATAGTCCCTGCTCTACATAGTGATTTAGGGGGTAGGGTGGACAATCAGATACAGGACTCTTAAAGTCTGAGAAATTAAAACATTTATAAACAAAACAAATGCCCCATTTTCACTAGACACGGTAACCGAGATGGGGCAACTGAACTGGACCGCGCCAGACTAAACCAAACCGCGCTAAATCTGGTGCTAGTTCAACAGTAGGGATCAGCACAGTTCATCTGTGGCTCGGTTCTCTGAGCAGACCGCATCATCTCCTATTTACAGTCACCTGACTCATTTTGCGGGTTTTCTGGCGTGTCCGGCTTTGCAATTCGCTGGTGGCCAGCCCGTCCAGGAAAGATCCAGCCTACCAAAGCAGTCGGCCAGGATATGTACGAACCAATCACAGATCTGTTCACAACACGGAGCTCTTACAAGCCTGTTAACTATGAATGGCATCATTAGAGTGACTCTCATTGAAAATCCAGGAACATAAGTTTCTTAATGTTATGGCGTCCTCATTTTACTTTGCGTAATTCCCGCCTTGAGAGCTGTAGTATCGAAAGGAGGCGAGGAACCATGCGAGCGAGATGTGGTAACGGTCGGAAGAACCAAGCTCGGCACGGATCGGTTTCAGAGGGAAAGCTGAAATGGAGTAAAAGGAAGCAGATCATAATTAGTTTAAGACAAAGGGCAAGAGTGGTAAGTTCATAATGGCATAGAATTGAGCTGCTTTCTACATTAGAGAGGATGATCATGGGAGAAGTTTCTTTCCTGAATAGTTTGAAGCAGGTAGATGGAGATGGCAGCAAAGGTCGACTGGAACTGTGCGAAGGTAGGAGATTTCTCATCAGAGAAGTCTGGGATACGTGGTGAACCAGCAAGGAGACTTGTATCTTGGAGCTAAAGAGTACAAAGTGTGAGCTTGAGGGAGACAGGCAAGAAGATGAACAAGATTCTCAAAAATGTTGTCAAAATCCACTCAAGAAGAGTTTCTGAGCTGCTGTGCCTTTGAGCATCATGAACAGCTGCTGCAGCTGGATGAGACAATTATTGAAAGGTGTGTGGTCTGCCGCTGGTGGCCAGCCCGTCCAGGAAAGATCCAGCCTACCAAAGCAGTCAGCCAGGATATGTACCAACCCATCAAAATACACTAACCGCCGGCCTTCTTGTCATCGGTGTGGGATTTCTGCAAGATGGCAGTCAACGTTTGTGGTCAGTCTACCTATCAGCATCTAATACCCCTTTCCCACTGGAGGAAAAATGTGTTTAAACGCGGGAACAATCAGCTTTTACTGGCAGTGGGAACAGCTCACTGATACGTGTCTATCCAGGTCTGATCGCCATGCTGTGGGAACAACGGAGCCGGGTTGACCCACTAAATTACGTGATTCCATTGAACACAACGTACGGACGTCAACACACCGTGCCAGTCGCTTCTGATCTAACAAGCAGAAACAACTGTGTTTACATTCGATAAACATGGAGCAGCTCTGGTTAGAGGGATTCAGACAGATAATAGAGAGAAACAATAAAAACACACTGACTATGCCCTGGCTTCCTACCATGTTGCACTCCATTGTTTACTTTCCTGATTTCTGTTGCAATGGTGACATCATCAGTGCTAACCCAGTGTGATGATGTCATTGTCACTACCTGATCAGTCCCAGAAACATAATCCATCCTGCGCATGCGCGAACAGAATAACTTCCGGTTAGGTAATACTTTTTAAAAAACGTTCTTACTCTTTTGTCTTTTTCTAACAGGGGTTCCTTTTGAATATTTTTGTATTTGCATAAATATTGCACATTCTAGAAACGGGGGGAAAAAAAACTTAAATAGCTTTTCAAATGTTACTGTGACTGCTCTTAGCATGTCCGATGTTGACATCACGCAATACAATGGAGAGACAGTAAAACTTATACATTTCTTCCAGAAAAGTCGTAAATGTTTTTTATACAATGTAGTTTAGCTTTCTTTTATGTTTTAAGTATAAAAATAAGTAGGGATGCAGGATATAATCGGCCCCCTATCGGTATCGGCCTTAAAACTGAATATCAGACATCGGCCACCCCACCGATATTTAACCCGATATTTGATCAGCTTCTGAGTTTCTAAAGTCTAAAAAAAAAAAAATAAATAAATACTACTACTTCTTCTTCCTCAAAAACTTCTTTTTTACAGACTTAAAAACTTCTAAAGATGAGGGAAAAAAATATTGATCCATTAAAATATCCCAATATCTTCATATGCTGATATATTGCCATTTAAAAACACCATATCAATCTCTTTTACTAATGAAATATTGCTATATGTCATCGTTATGCTACGAAATCCCCCGAAAATTCACCAAATGTTGCCATATTTTTATATGTTGATGTATTGACGCGGTATCCATCTCTTTTACTAACAAAATCTCACAAGAAATTGCAAAATATCGCGAGAGTTTGTAACAGAACGATGAAATTTCACCAGATTTTGAAAGTAAAATAGATCGATACCGCGTTTTAAAAAATCAATTTGATATCAGCATATGAAAATATATTTGAGTATATTATTTTTCAAAGTGTCAGAAATGGATAACAAACCTGCTATTTTCAATGACTACTTATTTTTGTCCAGCTTTAACATCGGTATCGATATCGGTTATCGGCTACAACAGTTTAAAATATCGGCATATCGGATATCGGCCAAAATCCCAATATCCTGCATCCCTAAAAATAAGTATTTTTACTACCGTTATTACCTAGTCTGTCTGCGATCCGGATCTTATTATTCTGTTAATGCATGCGCAGGACCGATCATGCTTCCGGGACGGATCAGGTAGTGACCAGGTATTTTGGGCGAGGTCCTTTTTGCTCTGTCATGTATGATGCTCAGTTCAGACATGTTTTCGTTCCTTTCGTCTTGGTGGGGGATTTTTTTTTTTACTCTGCTTATTTCTCTGTCTTGATTCAAGGGTGGGACTCTGACACACTGTGTGTCACCAGACACACATTTGCGGGGGGACAGAGGCCATGCAGATGCCAGGGAGGGGTTAGACCAGGGGTGGGCAATTCCAGTTCCCTAGGACCGGTATCCTGCAGCTTTTAGATGTGTCTGTGGTTCAAAACACCTTAATGAAATATTTAGATGACTGAGAGGACTCTGAAGGAACAGACTGCATACTGAGGAGGTAACTCAGCTATTTGATTCAGGTGTGTTGGTCCAAGGATGGATCTAAAAGCTGCAGGATAGCGGCCCCCAGGAACTGGAATTGCCCACCCCTGGGTTAGACCAACTCTTTTAGCCAATGGGAAGCAAGCCAAATGCTGATTGTTAGCAAGTTGACCCATGTTTGAAAAGCACATGTTAACCTGCTATTTTCAGTGGGTAAGAGGCTTAAGTAGTAGGTTGCAGCCCTCTGTAAGCTCTATGAGATCCTCCCAGTAACGGGATTTATTTGCAAAAAAAAAAAAAAAACAGAATAGGACAAAGAGTCAATTCCTGACTTTATGACAGTTAAAGAACATCAGTCATGGGATTTAGTCTCCAGATGGCTCTGGTGTTGGTTTTTAAAAGGAAATACTGATATGGAGGATTAAATCTATTTCAGTGTCAGTTTGCTCCACTGCTATATTCATAATTTAACAGCTTTTTAAAAAAGATTTCCTCTTTGTTCTGCCTTTCTTCCTGACAGCTTTCACTGCGATATCAGAAGCCCAGAATGACTGCGCCCTTGGAGCGTGTTATCCACCTAACAAAGACCTCCTCTTGGGCAGATCTGACCAGCTCCAAGCCTCCTCCACCTGTGGCCTGACTGGCTCAGAGGTCTACTGCACTCCATACCAGCAGGTAATGTGACCCAAAAACTTTAAGGCAGAGGTCTTCAACAGGGGGTCCGCGACCCCTAGGGGGTCCCCAGAGGTACTGCATGGGGGTTTATTAGACTTTTTTTTAATATTCACCCTGCAATTTTTTCCACTAATTGAAATGTATTTAAATCCACATTAACATGAATCCAACAGACTGTAGTAACAGATAAATGGAGGCAGAAGATGTCTTTCAGTCATCAATGCCAGTGGCGGTTCTAGACCAAATGTACATGGGGGCCAGGATTCCATAATTTTGGAATTTTATATATTTTTGACTTATTTTATCTTAAAATTACATTTTTCTATAAAATCTGAATTAGAAAAAAAAAACACGATGCATTCAGGTTTAAAAATTAGAGGAATTTCTTTTGAAAAAAAAGAAAACTGGGATCTAATCTCAATACGACAGACAGGAGCTCTTTCAAGCTGGGCACCGTTTCATTCACAACACCTGTCCCGTCAACCAGGAATCACAAATACTTTAATAATCCCAGGGAGGGATTACTTTCATTACATTACTCCATCTGTAATAGAGTGACTATAGGACCAGCTTGATAGAACACTATTTCATACAATATATATTTAGGGGGTCCCCGCTCCATCTCACCATAAGTTTGGGGGTTCTTGGCCTGGAAAACGTTGAAGACCCCTGCTTTAAGGTATTGGTTCTTCCCCTCTGTTTGTTTCAAAGCTGTACTCCTAATCAGAGGAATTAGGACACAAAACCACTTAGAGCATTATGTTGGAAGCAGAAACAATCTGAATATATTCTATGTCTACAGATCTACAGACCTACAGATCTAGACATGCTAACCCCCCTAAGAAATTACTGTAGGCAGATGAAATGGCAGATAAACATGGTGGACACGTGGACATCACGGTTTGAGTCAGATTACCTGCCCTCCAGTTGTGAAATAGTCTGATTTCTGTGCCAGAGAATGATGATGAAACTGTACTTTAGGCTAAGCTCTGCTGTCTCCCATCGGACTGTCTGTTGGCTCAGCAAAATCAATCCCAAACTGCATCCAAGGGCTGGTTTTGAAATTAGGGTTACTGTCCAGAGCAGAGCAGAGGGCATGCAGTTTGCAAGACTTGCAAAATAGTTAAAAATCCCATCATTTTCACCTCATCTACTAACTGCTAGATCCGCTCTTTGACTGGATCTCTGCAACTTTTTTTTTCCTTTTTTGCAAACAGATTAAAAATTCCAGATGGTTGAGACGCTCAAATTTCACAGTATTATTTTTTGTTGCCCTGTCTACTTCTTTCTTATAAATGTGTAGTATTTAAATAATAAGTACATGTGTTTCCTGATCGAATTAAAAAGCTATTTTGTACAGTTATAATTGGACAGTACAGAACAGAAGTACTTTTTAGATCTAATAAAGCAAAGATTAAACAGAATCAAGGTAAAGATCATTTATTATACAGGACAGTTTGAAAAATGTTAGTTTGAATAAACATAATAAATGTTTTTATGTCGGGCTGAGTCATCTGTCTACTTAAAATAACAATGATTCAAATGATTGACTTTGAAAAACTTTGCAGGTTTTCTGATGTTACTCTGGGTGTCGGCAAAAATATGACTTATTCCGATTTCTATGTTTGCAGTGTGAGACCTGAATGTTCTCCACACATAAATTAACAGATAATTTTACATTTTGGGGGGTTTTGTGGTTTTGATCAGACCAACCCACACCCCTATGTCTTGCATCTCTAATAGGTTTAGGTCTATTCTACTTTTAATTAAATTACATGTGAGTTAATTTGTTATATTAGCCCCATATTTTATCTTTAAAAAGCCTTGAACCCCTGATCCCCATCAGAACTATTCTATTCAGTTTATTTCTATAGCGCCAATTCACAACACATGTCATCTCAAGGAACTTTAGAGTTAACGCGATGATTAAATAAAAACCAATTGATTTCATCAACTCATTAACTCTTCAGCAATCCCTCACACTAAGCATTCTTGTAGCGACAGTGGAGAGGAAAAACTCCCTTTGAACAGGAAGAAACCTCCAGCAGAACCAGGCTCAGTGTGAGCGGCCATCTGCTGAGGCCCACTGGGGTTCAAGGAGACAGAAGCAGACATAGAAAAAGAAGCATAGATACAAAAGGCAACTGTCAACCAGCTCCACAGGCGGCCCCGTCCAGGAAACACACAGCCAGGCAGACGAGCTCCGAGCCAGCTCCCATGTCAGAGGATGAAGAGAGCACATCCAGTTAGTCACAGTCAGAGAAACAGGACTACACTGGAAAACAGGCCAAGCTCCAACATCTAGAAACAAAGGTGTTGATGGCAGCAGCACAGCTGATATTTCTCTCCAGGATGGAGTCACAGCCAAACAGGAACAGACCAGATGAAGCTACTATGAGAAAAAGCAGAGAGAGCAGAACGTTAGAGATTGAACTAACAGATTCTGCAGAGTGGGAGAATAGAGATAGAATGAAGCAGAATGATGAAAAAGGGGTCCCTATGTCCTCCAGCAGTCTAAGCCTATAGCAGCAGAACTATAGAGATAGCTCAGATAGCTCAACTAAATATGCATTTTTTAATATGAGAGATTATGAGGCATGATCAAACCAACAAAACTGTGGATGAGATTCTACTGAAGGATGAGTAGAGAATAGGTGGAGTACTAGAAATGACGCCAAAGTGGTGCTTGTCCCAGCAAGCATTAAAAGTCTTCCTGGAAGGTCTGCTTCAACACGCCATCGGTCTTCTTTGCACCTTTTGTTCCAAAAGTAAGTCACCTGAAGTCATAAAAAAGAAAACAGGGTTATGAATGTGGAACGAAATGTTTTTTTAACATATATAGTTTGATTTTGTTTAGTATTTATTTTTGCCGGATTTGGTGAATCAAATTAATGTCTCTGAAGAACAACCATATGTATCTAACAATACAATCGCAATGAACCAAATATGTCTTTTTCTCTGGCCTCTACAGCTAGTTTCTACGGAGCCCCTCTGATGACATGGTCAAAAAAATTTTTTGTTGTGGCCACGAAGTAGTATTTCGTGGCCACGCAATAAGTTTAACGTGCGCACGAAATACTTCTTAATAATATTAATATCATTCCTGGACAACTGGGTAAGCAAATCAAGCGCGCCTTCTCTAAGTTCTAAGGCGCGCTTGATTTGCTTACCCAGTTGTCCAGGAATGATATTAATATTATTAAGTAGTATTTCGTGCACACGAAATACTACTTCGTGGCCACAATTAAAAATTTTTTTGACCATGTCATCAGAGGGGCTCCATAAGTTTCCCCTCTAACCTTTACCCATATAATACATGTTAAACAACATAGTGTTAGTAATCTAAAGAAAACATATCTAATCTCTGTTGTGAGAACATTTTTACTCTCCAATTCAATTACAAACAAACATACAAATAATATCTTAAATGTTGGTTTAATCATCATCTATTGCACATTTAGTATTTTCATTTCCCTATGTTACACCTTTTATGATACACTAGTTCAAATGGATTAAAATGTAACTTGAGCCATTTTTCTTTTAAGGTTCTGTAACTAAAATTAGCCGACTGTAGACTTTACACTCTAAATATGGACCAAAAGGGACATTTAGTCTGTGCAGACACTTGGCACAACCTCATTATAAACACTGTGTATTTGCACATGTTGTAAGGCAGAGAGCCGTAACCCTGATAGAAAAGCTCCATGTTGAAGCACTTATTACCTGCATGCAGTTCAAAGTTCAGTTTAAAGATTGAGTCATGCTTCAGGGGCAGCTGAGCTAGAGACGGTGACATGTGCACACCTCGGTGTGTTTGATAGGGAGCGGCTTTATCCCCCAGATAAGATAAGGCTTCGTTTGAGATGACTGAGGAATACAAATCTGAAAAGTGTTTTTAGACAAACTTTATGGTCATTTTGTATCCAGGGGGTGTATGCAAAACTAAATTTTGTTTTGAGCAGCTCTCAAGACATTTGCATTTCTTAAAGTGCAGCAGTGATCGAATGTAAACATGGTGATCGTATTTGTGTGAACGTGGTGCATCGTCAGAGAAGATAAAAATATAAAAGTTCACTTCTGTTGAAATTCACAAGTAGATTTATAGAAAATAGCCTTTATTGTTGACTAATGTAGTTTTATTAAACCCATAATAAAAAAAACGGTTTATTGTTATTATGCTGTAGAAACTGTACAGCATTTAAAAACAAAAACATTTGTTAGATTCTTAGAGCAACACCTTCATTCATGAACAGGTGTCAGCAGCCAGATATTCACTTTATTTTTAGATGCTCCACTACAGTCATTTCATTCCAATCAAAAACACACAGCGCCACCTAGTGGACTTGCAATGTATGATCAAATTGAGAAGGATTATGAACCTAGCAAACTTCATTTCCTCTGCATCATAGTTAAACATTGAGCTAAACCCCTCTCTCCTACATCTACTTCATCTATTCTCAATTATCTACAAAGATGTGAGGAAATATTCCATAACAGGCTCAGCAGGGGAAGCGCAGTTATTGCCTAAGATTTCCTTCCAACCTTACCATTTTTTTAGTGTAGGAAAGGCATCAGAAACTCAACCCAAACTTTCATTTTTCTCAAATAAAAAAAGTTAAGATAGAGAGATGAGTTTGGGCTCCACTCGGATCTAACAGCAGCAGGTCTCTCGCATGCAGCAGCTGGTTCTCTGTAACACAAAGGGTTGCGATCCGTCTAATTAAACAAAGAATTGCATAGTCCATATAAATAAACCAGAATAGCAGAAAAAATATGATGCAGAAAGAAAATTATTTGTTTGTTTTTTTCTTTTTAGGAAAAGAAAAAGAGTAGAAACGTGGAAAGATTAACAAGAATAATAATTGCACATAAATCAACAATTTCCTTTAACATAAAAAACATCTTGCAGGGAATTGTGGCCACTATGAGGAAGATCGACTGCAGAATATGTTCTATTAAAATGTCTTAAAATGATTTATGAGGACAGAGTTTTAAATGATTAAAGAAATATAAAACATAAAAGGGATGCTAAAAAAAAACAGATAATTGATCAATTAAGAAAAATAAAAATCTGCTTATTAGAAAAAATGTTATATTCAAACCCAGGCCTAAGAATTTAGACCTGGATGATCTGGACTGCAAACCAGTGGTGTTTATGCACACCTTCAGATTTCTGCTAACAAAGAACCAGGAAATGAAGAGTAGAGCTGTGAGGAGGAGATCCACCTCCAGGAAAAACTGCAAACATAAATATTCTCTCATGTATCTCTAATATTAAAGTCAAGCTGCCCCTGCAACCAAAAACAGGGAGACGTCTTCACGCAGAGATTATTTAGCATCACCAAGAGTTCAAGACCAGAAAGGCTCTTAGTTGCTCTTCTTGTTGGTCTAACCAGAGGCGACAAACTCATCTTCACTTTCGTAATAAACTCAGTAATCAGGACCTCATATTCAAAGCGAGACAGACAGTCGGAAGATTCACAGCATATTGAAGCAACACAAACAGAAACGTGGAGCTGTGACTCTGCAGCGGCTGAAGGGGGAAGGCAGGGCAGCGCCCATCACTGGCAACTCTGGTGTCGGGAGAAGCTCCGCTAGGTGACCATGATAATCTGATGGAGAATTATTATCCATGTGAGTCACTTAGCTGGACTAACAGTTCAGTCAGAGAGTGTAAGACAACACTTAAAACCTTTTCTATGAGAACATGAACTATGGAACATAACTATGGAATTATATAAACAGCAGTGATAACTGCTTATAAAGAAGTAGCATATATACAGAGATGGCAAAAGTAGGCCTACTCACTTTCCGTACTTGAGTAAAAGTACAGATACTTGTGTTAAAAAATACTCTGGTAAAAGTGGAAGTACTGATTAAACTTCTTTACTCAAGTAAAAGTAACAAAGTACAGGCTTGTAAATTTACTTAAAGTATAAAAGTAAAAGTAGAAACCACTTTTTTCATGCCGTTGCCTACATTTTAAATGGATGTCTGCCAATAGGACTAGATCTCCGTTGTGTTCATTTTCAATCATCTCGTCGTCCATGCTACTATGCTAACGCCACCGCCACCAAGCTGCAATGATTTGCCGCCAATGAATACCGCCGAATCTGTCGATTCATCTTGTAGCGGTGCGCCAATGCAACGTAGATTCCCATCCAATTAGATTGAATTTGGTATTGATGACGTGAAAAATAATAACGGTAACTCCATTGAAATGATTCAAAACTAAAGTAACGAGCCAATTTTTAAAATGTAAGGAGTAGAAAGTACAGATATTTGTGTAAAAATGTAAGGAGTAGAAGTAAAAAGTCGCCATAAAAATAAGTAGTAAAGTAAAGTAAAAATATCAGAAAAATCTACTTGAGTACAGTAACGAAGTATTTGTACTTCGTTACTTCCCATCTCTGTATATATATATATATGAGATATAAGATGAGTGATAATTACTAACTGGGCAGAGTTACGCAAATGAGTGAAATAAGCAATTTAGGTCAGCTGTCAGGGCAGCAAACATGATGATGTTGAGTTACTTCATCATTTTCCTGTAATTAAACGGCTGCAACTGTTTAAATGAAATGTTACGCTTCATGTTGTTTTAAAAACAGCATCCTACACCGCCACTAGAACGTTGCACCCTTTTACTTTGCAGTTTTAGCCGCTTTTTACAAGAACAAATGGCTCTTATTTATAACAAGGCCAGCTTTTTTTTTTATTATTAAAGGCTGTTTATTGCTTTGCCATTTTCTGAAATTTTAAATAAATATAATACCATATAAATTTAGTTCAGTTTTTTACATAGCGCCAATTAACAACACATCATCTCAGGGCACTTTACAGTTCACCAGATCATCCAGTCAGATTGATTCAAAGTTTTCTATCTAAGGAAAACCAGCTGATTGCATCGACTCATTGACTCTTCAGCAATCCTTCACACTAAGCATGCTTGTAGCGACAGTGGAGAGTAAAACCTAAAAAATATATCAGGCAGATCCTTCCAAACACTCAGTTTCTCTAACATCTTTAGTCCTGAACATTTATGTCTGCAGCACATCAGAACCCTTGGATTTGTTTTTATTTTCTCTCATAGCGGAGGATGAAATGCTGCCCATGTGACTCCAGGAACCCCAATGGTCAGCTCGCCCACACCATCCAAGACATCCTCACCACCTCTGGACCGGACAGGTGGTGGCAGTCCAGCAAAGGTGAAAATAACCACAGATAGATACATTACTTTAAAGAATGAGTTTAGAGACAGAACGACATGTTTCCACTTCTTACCGATCGGCCTGTCTGCGAAACACTCAGCTGCCATGTTTATCCATTCACTTTGGACATTTCTGTCCTCCTTCTTGCAGGGGTGAATCCAGTCACTATCCAGTTG